TGCATGTGTGTGTGTGTGTGTTTCTTAGTATAAGTGTGTACGTGCATGTGTGTGTGTGTGTGTGTGTGTGTTTCTTAGTATAAGTGTGTACGTGCATGTGTGTGTGTGTGTGTGTGTGTGTGTGTGTGTTTCTTAGTATAAGTGTGTACGTGCATGTGTGTGTGTGTGTTTCTTAGTATAAGTGTGTGCGTGCATGTGTGTGTGTGTGTGTGTGTGTTTCTTAGTATAAGTGTGTACGTGCATGTGTGTGTGTGTGTGTGCGTGTGTGTGTGTTTCTTAGTATAAGTGTGTACGTGCATGTGTGTGTGTGTTGTTTCTTAGTATAAGTGTGTACGTGCATGTGTGTGTGTGTGTGTGTGTGTGTTTCTTAGTATAAGTGTGTACGTGCATGTGTGTGTGTGTGTGTGTGTGTGTGTGTGTGTTTCTTGTATAAGTGTGTACGTGCTGTTTGTGTGTGTGTGTTTCTTCGTATAAGTGTGTACGTACATGTGTGTGTGTGTGTGTGTGTGTGTGTGTGTGTGTGTGTGTTTCTTCGTATAAGTGTGTACGTGCATGTGTGTGTGTGTGTGTGTTTCTTAGTATAGTGTGTACGTGCATGTGTGTGTGTGTGTGTGTGTGTGTTTCTTAGTATAAGTGTGTACGTGTCTTGTGTGTGTGTGTGTGTGTGTTTCTAGAATGTGTACGTGCTTGTGTGTGGTGTGTGTGTGTGTGTGTGTGTGTGTGTGTGTGTGTGTTTCTTAGTGTATTGTAGTGCAGTGTGTGTGTGTGTGTGTGTGTGTGTGTGTGTGTTTCTTAGTATAAGTGTGTACGTGTCTTGTGTGTGTGTGTGTGTGTGTGTGTGTGTGTGTGTGTGTGTGTGTGTTGTATAAGTGTGTACGTGCATGTGTGTGTGTGTGTGTGTGTGTGTGTGTGTGTTGTTTCTTAGTATAAGTGTGTACGTGTCTTGTGTGTGTGTGTGTGTGTGTGTTTGTGTGTGTGTGTGTTTTAGTATAAATGTGTACGTGCATGTGTGTGTGTGTGTGTGTGTGTTTCTTAGTATAAGTGTGTACGTGCATGTGTGTGTGTGTGTGTGTGTGTGTGTGTGTGTGTGTGTGTGTGTGTTTCTTAGTATAAGTGTGTACGTGCATGTGTGTGTGTGTGTGTGTGTGTGTGTGTGTGTGTGTGTGTGTGTGTGTTTCTTGGTATAAGTGTGTGCAGTACATGTGTGTGTGTATGTGTGTTTCTTAGTATAAACCTGCATGTGTGTGTGTGTGTGTGTGTGTGTGTGTGTGTGTGTTTTTGTTATGTAGGGTGTGTTGTGTGTGTGTGTGTTTTTTAGTATAAGTGTGTACGTGCATGTGTGTGTGTGTGTGTGTGTGTGGTGTGTTGTGTGTTTCTTAGTATAAGTGTGTACGTGTCTTGTGTGTGTGTGTTGTGTGTGTGTGTTTGTGTGTGTGTGTGTTTAGTATAGTGTGTGTACGTGTCTTGTGTGTGTGTGTGTGTGTGTGTGTGTGTGTGTGTGTGTGTGTGTGTGTGTGTGTGTGTGTGTGTGTTTCTTAGTATAGTGTGTACGTGCATGTGTGTGTGTGTGTGTGTATACAGTACTTATGTAGGTCAATCAATGCTAGTTCCCTCTGAAGAGTTCTTAAAATATTCTAATCAGTACAAAGTTTGGAATCTTCTCCTGATTCCTTCTACTAACCTATAACATAACCTAACCTTAACCTAACACAGCCTTATCTTAACTTAAACCTAACCAAGCTAGCCTAACCTAACTAACAACCTAAACTAATGATGACAGTTTTTCCACATTATAAAGGAAGAGGAGGAGGAGGAGGGGTAGGAGGAGGAAGAGGAGGGGTAGGAGGAGGAGGAGGAGGAGGGGTAGGAGGAGAAGAACGAGAAGAACGAACAGTATATAAGAAATGCATAAACATAATAACTAGATCATAAAAGAAGAAAATACTAAAACAAATAATAATAAGGAGAGAATTGAAACTGGACGATGAGATAATGTTGTGAAGGATAAATGATGATAAATGAGGAAGAATGAGAGAACACTATGATTGACGACAGGTAGAAATGCAGGTAAATATATAAACTTAATTACCTAAATTTACACCTGAGGATTATATATATATACCTCTATACATATCACCATTACTATATAGCACCACCATTATATAACTATCATTACTATATCACCACCACCACTACCACCACACCCTTAATCCTACAGTAAGTTAAATTAAATTAGATTCTCTTTCAATAGTATCGTATATGAACTAAAATATTTCAAAATTTTTCATACCAATTATTAATGTTTTGTTCTATCTATCTATCTATCTATCTATCTATCTATCTATCTATCTATCTATCTATGGTGTTGGTAGGTAGTCACTGTAGTCAGCCACTGTCAGCCTCCTACAAGTATCGTTGTTAGCTTCTACTCCAAAAAGCATACGTCAGCTTCTCCACAACCCTCTTCCTTCCTCCCTCCTCATTCCTCCCTCTTCAAGGTAGGGAGGGTGGAGGGTGGAGGGGGGGGAAGTGTTGAAGTAATTAATTTTAAGGTGACCTGGCAACATTAATACCACAGGTCATTACAGGTCATTACAGGTCATGCAGATATCACCTATAGTATCACCACATACCTACAAACATCAAGAATTAAAACAAAAAACAAAAACAATAACTCCGGGATGCAAAACAAACACACAAACACGATATAAATTCACTGCAGGATTATTGTAAAGATTATAAGGTGCAAACAAAAACAGTCGTGCAAAAAACAAAGACACCAAAAATATAGTGTTATTGTTTTTAGTAAGGACTTTGGTGAGTGTGAAGGAGGGGCAGCTTACGTAGGTGTTTAGTTCCTGGCTCCTTCACGTGTCTGTCACCGGCCCTCTCACCTGTCTGTCATTAGCACCTCTCACCTGTCATTAGCTCTCTCACCTGTCTCTCACCAGCCCTCTCACCGGTCTTTAGCCCTCTCACCTGTCTGTCGCCAGCCCTTTCACCTGTCCGTCGCCAGCCCTCTCACCTGTCTGTCATCAGCCCTCTCATCTGTCTGTCATCAGTCCTCTCCCTTACTACCTCGTCCCACTCTCACACTCTCAGCCTTTCCTTTCGCTTTACTCCCTGTTTACTTCAATTCTCTCCTCTCCCTTACACCCCTTGTCTCGATTTACTCTCCCTTAATCTCCTCTACACCCTTGGTCATCTTCCTCTCCCCTTGTCTCGTCTTACTCTCCCCCTACTCCCCTTGTCTCAACTTACTCTCCCCTACTCCCATTGTCTCGTCTTACTCTCCCTCCCCTCTCTACCCTCCCCTACTCCCCTTGTCTCGTCTTACTCTCCCCCTCCCCCTTGTCTCGTCTTACTCTCCCCCTCTCCCTTGTCTCGTCTTACTCTCCTCCTACTCTACCCTTACTCCCCTTGTCTCGTCTTACTCTCTACTCCCCTTGTCTCGTCTTACTCTACTCCCTTGTCGTCTTACTCTCCCCCTTGTCTCGTCTTACTCTCCCACTCCCCTTGTCTCGTCTTACTCTCCCCTCCTTCTCTCGTCTACTCCCCTTGTCTCGTCTCTCCCCTACTCTCCTGTCTTACTCTCCCCACCCCTTGTCTCGTCTTACTCTCCCCTACTCCCCTCTCTGTCTTACTCTCCCCTACTCCTTTGTCTCTGTCTTAAGTCTCTCGTCTTACCTCCCCCTTACTCCCCTTGTCTCGTCTTACTCTCCCCTACTCCCCTTGTCTCGTCTTACTCTCCCTACCCCTTGTCTCGTCTTACTCTCCCCCTACTCCCCTTGTCTCGTCTTACTCTCCCCCCTACTCTCCTTGTCTCGTCTTACTCTCTTGACTACTTGTCTCGTCTTACCCTCCCCTTGTCTCCTCTCCCCTACTCCCCTTGTCTGTCTCGTCTTACTCTCCCCTACTCCCTTGTCTCGTCTTACTCTCCCCTACCCCTTGTCTCGTCTTACTACTCCCCTTGTCTCGTCCCCTCCCTTGTCTCTCTACTCCCCTACTCCTTGTCTCGTCTTACTCCCTACTCCTTGTCTCTCGTCTTACTCTTACTCTCCCCCTTACTCCTCCTTGTCTCGTCTTACTCTCCCCTACTCCCCCTTGTCTCGTCTTACTCTCCCCCCCACTCCCCTTGTCTCGTCTTACTCTCCCCTACTCCCTTGTCTCGTCTTACTCTCCCCTACTCCCTTGTCTCCTACTCTCCTTGTCTCGTCTTCTCTCCCCCTACTTGTCTCGTCTTCTCTCCCCTTGTCTCGTCTTACTTACTCTCCCCTATGTCTTACTCTCCCCACCCCTGTCTCTACTCTCCTTGTTGGTCTCGTCTTACGTCTACTCTCCCCCCTCCTTGTCTCGTCTTACTCTCCTTGTCTCGTCTCTCTCTCTCCCCCTCCCCCTTGACTCGTCTTCTCTCCCCTACTCCCTTGTCTCTTGGTCTCGTCTTACTCTCCCCTACTCTCCCCTTTCTCGTCTCTCCCTTGTCTCGTCTCTACTCCCCTTGTCTCTCTCTACTACTCCCCTTGTCTCGTCTTGTCTCGTCTTACTCTCCCCTACTCCCTTGTCTCGTCTTACTCTCCCCCCTACTCCCCTTGTCTCGTCTTACTCTCCTCACCCTTGTCTCGTCTTACTCTCTCCCTTGTCTCGTCTTACTCTCCCCTACTCCCCTTGTCTCTCTACTCCCTCCTCCCCTTGTCTCGTCTTACTCTCCCCTCCCCTTGTCTCGTCTTACTCTCCCCCTACTCCCTTTGTCTCTCAACTCCCTTGTCTCGTCTACTCTCCCCTACTCCCTTGTCTTGTCTTATCTCCCCCTACTCTTGTCCCACTCCCACGTCTTACTCTCCCCATCTCTGTCTACTCTCCCCCTCCTACTCTACTTGTCTCGTCTTACTTCTACTCCCTCTCCCTACTCCCCTTGTCTCGTCTTACTCTCCCCCTACTCTCCTTGTCTCGTCTTACTCTCCCCCCTACTCTACCCTTACTCTCCCCGGTCAGCCACTCACCATGCGCATGATCGCTCTCTTGGTCTTCGTCCTCGTCAGGAGTCCGGCGGGCGTGAGGTGGGTCAGGCGGTTTAGGAATCCCACTTAATATCATAGTTGAGGAAGCTGACCCGCCGCCCGAGTCATCCACAGGACCCGGCACCCGGCTGGCCCCGTCTGCACAACCCCGCCCCTCGGCTCTGTGGTGAGGGCAACACGAGTGAGGGGACACAGTGAGGGAGAGCAGATAGAAGCTGGCCTCTAAAACAAAGTTGAGGGGAAATGTAAGAAAAACATCAACAAAATAGACTTCTGTCATGAGAAGGGAAAGAAGTAATGAGTGAAGGGAAGGTGAGAGGGAGATGAGAGGAGGTGAGAGGGACATGAGAGGAAGTGATAGAAGATGGCCTTTAAAATAAACTGAGACGAATATAAGAAAACAACAACAAAAGAGACTTTGATGTGAGGGGAGGCGAGGGGAAAGTGAAGGGGAGGCGAGGCAAGATGAGTACAGAAGAGAGGAAAGAGCACTGAAGTTAGAACAAGACTATGAGGTATCACAGTGAGGTGAGGAGGAGGGAGGGGGATTATGAGTGAGGGGAATAATGAGGTTAAGACTCTAACGTGAGGAGAACATACTGAAGTTAGTTATGAAATACTGATAAGGAGAGAGAGAGAGAGAGAGAGAGAGAGAGAGAGAGTACACGAACACATCAACAGGACACAACAGCATTGAAATGGTAGATGGGCAGAAAACAACAATGGCAGGAGAACACAGGAACACCCACAACTTGTCTTACACTAACGAAATACTGTATACAGAGTGTGTTGAGGAGGGAGGTGGTGGTGAGGGGGAGGGGTGAGAGGAGGAGAAGGAGAAGAGAGGAAGAAGAACGATATCCTTCTCCCGCCTTCCTCTCCTACCCCTCTACACACACATACATACGTTCTTCTCCTCCAATAGTTCGTAAGGATAATACCAATGTGAATGTGCAGTTTGATTTGTTATTTTGTTGGTACGAGAAGCATGCATGTTTTTTGAGAGTGGGAGTGAGCCATTTCCTAATACCTTTATGAGTGATTTTTTTGTGTGTGTGTGTTTTTCCCTCACCTGCTCCGACACACCTTCAGGAGTTGTGGGTCCCGATGCCACCTCTACACCGCCCATCTTCACCCCCAGAGAATATTGTAAGTTAATTTGTTCCTGTTATTGAAAATGATTGTTCAATTAACCTAAATTGATATATATATATTTGTGTCTGTTATACAAAATTTTTTTTTTTGGATGTTCTTAAGATATTTGGACAAAATTCTCTGGTAAAGTAAAAAAAAAAAAAGTGAATAATTTATGTTTATCTAAATACATTCTTCCTTCCCATGTGTTTCTTTCTTGTGTTTCACCTTTGTTGTGCTCCTTCCTTCACACCTCAATCATCATGTTTTGTTCTCCTTCCTTCTCTCTATCTCTCCTGCCTCACCTGCAGCGTCACCCTCAGTTGTCATTCACCCTACACAAATACAGTACATCTCTCTACGTCATCATAAACAACAATAAATTAAAACTAACAACTAAAACATAAACAACACCAACAACCATCTCATTCATCAGTAATATCTCGTGAATGTAATAAAAGGAAGAATTTGTTGATGCTGGGAGTCAACATTCGTGTCCCAAGGCAGAGGAGTTCCCCAAGGGTGCAATCCACTTATATTTGTTTCACGTAAGATGTTTTGTTTTTTCTACAGATGTTTTAAAGGAACATAAGTTTACTGAAGATGTTTTAAAGGGAACAACATAATTACTTCAGATGTTTTAAAGGAACATTAGTTTATTTAAGATGTTTTAAAGGAACATTAGTTTACTCAAGATGTTTTAAAGGGAGCATTATAATTACTTCAGATGTTTTAAAGGAACAATATATTTCATAGAGAAGTTTTGATAAATCTCTATTACTGTTTCATAGACTTAGTGTAAACAAGAAACAGTCGTAAATATGTTCCAATTATTATTATTCCTTTACGTGTATCTCAAGACTGTGATACCTTATGTTCTTAGTACCACACATAGAGGCTTCTTGTCGCCCACAAGCCCCCTAACCTTGCGTTTCGGTGACATCAAAACATAGATTCGGTTCAAATTCCATACACAGGTACTCATTTATGTGTTGGTTAAGGATCTGTGTTAAAAATGTTAAAATTCAAGCAGTGTTAATTAATGAGCTCTGAAATAATCAAATAATCTTAAAATATTAAATACGTCAATTACGCTGTACCTGTAAGTTTAAACTCACCTTTATATACATTTTCTCAGGTGATAATAATTACCCATATAGATGATCTTAGTTATCTCATTGTACCCTAAACATATACTTTTATGGGTTTATTATAAGTGAAATACTTTTTGCATTTACGTTTAAGGGACACCATTACTTTAGAACCGTCACCACTATGTAAAATGGTCGAGATACTTGCACCTTTAAATGTCTTTGTGTTGGTGTGAATAATATGTTTTTTTTTATACGAGTCAGAATTTACAAGGATCACCTCTGCTGCTGTTCAGGCTTGCAGGCGCTGATCTGGTCAAGGATTTGCTGCATGATGTTCTCACTTGAGTCTACCACTGAGACTGAGGACGCTGCCTGGCTCTGTGGCACCTGTAGAGAACACACGGAGAAGAAAGAGTCTTAGTAAACACGGTAGGGAGTCTTAGGGCACACCTGGGATGGTTTAATTACCAGGTGGGAGTCTTACCTGGTATGGTTTAACTGACAGGTGGGAGTCTTAAGGCTTACCTGAGATGGTCTAATTATCAGGTGGGAGTCTTAAGGCTTACCTGAGATGGCTGAATTATCAGGTGGGAGTCTTAAGGCTTACCTGAGATGGATTAATTAACAGGTGGGAGTCTTAGGGCTTACCTGGGATGGTTTAACTGACAGGCAGGAGTCTTAAGGCTTACCTGGGATGGTTTAATTAACAGGTGAGAGTCTTAGGCTTACCTGGTATGGTTTAATTAGCAGGTGCGAGTGTTACGGCTTACCTGAGATGGATTAATTCACAGGTGGGAGTCTTAAGTCTTACCTGGGAGACTTATAGGAATGATGAGGGTGAGATGATAATTACGTGGGAGTCTTAAACGATAGTGTACCTACCTTAAACTCACCTAACCTAACCTAACCTAACCTAACCTAACCTAACCTAACCTAACCTAACCTAATCTAACCTAACCTGAACAAGTTAAACATCATTTCACCTTGGTCATAAACACAACTAACTTCCTCTTCACTAAGTTACAAATAACACAGACGACAACTCTGACAACAAACACACAAACGCACACACACACACACACACACAAACAGGGGAGGAGGAGGAGGAGGAGGAGGAGGAGGAGGAGGAGGAGGAGGAGGAGGAGGCGGAGGAGGAGACATTACTTACTTGTAACTTAGGTGAGATTCTCTCCATAAGGGCGGTGATTGAGCGTATATACGGCTCTAATTGCTGTGCTATGATCATTAATCTCTTGTTCTCATCTCGTAGACTGGCCACGTCGTTCACCTGCCGAGAACAGGTAGATACAGGTGAGTCCAGGTCATATATAAAGGTCAATAGACCAGGTTATATAGGTACAGGTCAATCCAGGTCATATATACAGGTAAGTCTAGGTCATATATACAGGTGAGTCCAGGTCATATATACAGGTGAGTCCAGGTCATATATACAGATGAGTCTAGGTCATATATACAGGTCAGCACAGGTCATATATACAGGTCAGCACAGGTCATATATACAGGCCAGCACAGGTCATATATACAGGTCAGCACAGGTCATATACAGGAAAATTCAGGTAATATATTGGTCAGCAGCCCAGGTTATATACAAGGTACAGGTCAATCCAGGTCAATACATTTTATCGTGTATGATGTATGACACCTGTATGACGGGTTGGTTGTATTCATTTGTCATACATAAACAAATAAAAGAGACAAAATACATAGATATGGAACTCTGTGATAAATTTCTCTCTCTCTCTCTCTCTCTTTCTCTATTTTTCTATCACTCTTCCTCACCCTCTCTCTCTTTTTTCTTTATCTCTCTCTAAAAATGATGTACAAGAACGACAAGTGTGAAGAGAAAAGAGGTGATAAAAAGTAATCTATTGAAATAGGTTACTGGTATCGGATATCTCTCTCTCTCTCTCTCTCTCTCTCTCTCTCTCTCTCTCTCTCTCTCTCTCTCAAAATGACATTATTTATTAAGAAAATATTATCTTTTGGAGAAGTGTATTTATTAGTTTTTATTTTTAATCGTTTTATTTCTATTATGGTTTTGCCTGATGTAATACAAACTACAGGTAGCAGAGTTAATTAAGTCAGGTAAGATCATAATAATAAGAATCAGCTGAAAAAAAAATATAGCATTTATGGACAGGTGCATCGAGAAATATTAATTAATTATAGACAGGTAGATCGGACAGGTAAGGCCACACAGTTAACGTCATAATGGAAGATACAACTAATATATATATATATGTGTGTGTGTGTGTGTGTGTGTGTGTGTGTGTGTGTGTGTGTGTGTGTGTGTGCATAAACAAGTGTGTGAATGTAAGTGTGTGCATCTGTGTGTGTGTATCAATGACTGGCCCCACCTCACCTGCACCTCGCCCCTCCTCACCTGCACCTCGCCCCTCCTCACCTGCACCTCGCCCCTCCTCCCTCACCTGAGATTGAAAAACTTCCTGTTCAGCGTAGACTCTCTGGATCTGCTCGTCCCACGCCGAGTCAAACACGGTCCTCAACTCCTCCATCTCGTCCGTGTAGGCGCGGAACTCCTCCTCGAGGGCGGCACACTCGCGGACGATCTCCTCCACTCGGCCACGTCGTGTCAAGCACCTCCTCAGCGTTACGTCTCGATGCAGCTCCTGAGCCTCTTCTTTTAATCTGGTGAACTTGCCTGTCAATTCCTGCTGTGGTTGACAAGAAGAAATGGCGGTGAATTGATTACTTCGATCTGTGTACCCTTGGTTTTGCTGTGGAAGAATTTCGACGTAATGTTACGAGTCTTCAATTCGAGGGACACGACAGAAATTTTTCTCGCAGTTTTTAGTATCAGTAATGCAATATTGTTACAATATTTTGTGTCAACCTTGTATGCAATGTCCTCTATATTGATGTGGTTCTCTAACAAACTGTGACAGAAATCATGTCACTTACCCTAAATTTATTCTCGTGGGTCTTGCAGTGCTCAGCGAAGGGTCCGCCACTCTCCAGGATTTTGAGCTTGGCGGCGGAGAGGGAGCGTCTCGACCCCGGCATCCCGAAGGAAGTGGGACCCATCCCCGAGGCTGCCGAGGGCGGACGGGACGCACACCCGCCCTCCGACGACGGCTTCTCGCTGCACCCAGACGAGCCTGTCGGGGGAGTCCTTAGTTTATAACTGACTGTGGTGGGGAGGTCATGTAGACCACTGTGTAGCCCACGGTGTTAGTGTAGGATGAGTGAGGCACCAGTGAACTGTGTCTACATGATTTGTACACACACACACACACACACACACCAACAACTACTCTGTATATAAAAACGAGTGAACACCATTTGGAGAATCTTACTATTTGTTCTCACTTTAATTAGTTGCCGTGAGTTGTAACACCTGGTCGTGAATACAAGTGCTTGGTGGTGATGATCTTAAGTGTATCGAAAGTGTACAATGTTAGCCGAGTTCCTCCCTTGGTGATTACCCTCCCTAGCACCTCCCTTACACATCCTACCTGAGAACATTACCGATAGAGACTAAACTTCTCCTCCTCCCTCCTTATGACGTCATACCTCCTCTTGACGTCATACCTCCTCATGACGTCATACCTCCTCTTGACGTCATACCTCCTCATGACGTCATACCTCCTCATGACGTCATACCTCCTCATGACGTCATACCTCCTCATGACGTCATACCTCCTCATGACGTCATACCTCCTCATGACGTCACACCTCCTCATGACGTCATACCTCCTCTTGACGTCATACCTCCTCACACACAGAACCAGTTGTTGTTATACACCAGCAAGGAGTCTCCTAGCGCTGGCCTGCCTGGACTTCTATGAATGTTTGTAAGATTATACCCAAAGTTTTGATGATACAAACACAGAATACATAAAATAGTTTAGGTGAGTAAGAAGAATATTCTGGCGAGACATGTGAATGGCATCTTGTTTACTCCGCGTCACAGGGATCTTGTATATAATATTTACATTAAGACAGAAAGCCTTTATAATCCACTGGTAAATACATTTTTTTACGTCTTTAAATATCAACCTCCAAAAAAAAAAAAGCTCATGTGGGTTGTTTTGGGGGCTTTTGTGTAAAGAGATTTTGTACTTTTTTTTCCTCTGGTAATCTCCTACGCAATCCACTTATACTATAGTTAATTTTATTGCGAGAACTGACTTGCCTTAACACCGAAGAGTGGGAGGGGAAGAAGTGTAAGGAAAACGAGAAAAAAGGGAAGAAAGGAGTTACAAAAGAGGGAAAAAGATGGAAACAAGAAAAGATAACAACTATTTTCATCGTATATTTTTCCTTTTTAATATTTAGCCCTCGACCCTTTTCTTTAAGACCATAAAACACACTTGAACATTGTCTTATGAGAACAGAAACATTGAAAGAAAAGGCATAAAAAGTCATTAAAAAGGAAAACAAAATATTGGAATGTTATGAATACTGAAGTGAGTCCGGATGTGTTATAGGATATGTTGACATTGAGGGAATAACATCACACCTTCTCCTTCCCTCCTTCCCTTTCTCTCCTCACCTCTCTACCCTCTCCTCCATAACACACATCTAAGTTAATATTGTTATACTTGGATGATTAAATGGTGTTATACCTGGATGACCTTAATTAGTGTTGAGTTAAGGTATGTGATCTCTGACGGCATGTGTAACCCCTCTGTACCCATACCCGAGGGCCTGGTTAATGACCCTACCTAAACTTTCTCAACTTTCACCTGGGGGCTGAGTCTAACCATACCGTCTTTACGTCTCACCTGAAGGCATGGCCATAGATTCTCCTCTTCCCTTGCCGACGTTGGACAGGAGAGGCTCAAGGCTCCTAGAGAACTCACTCTTGAAGTTGCTACGGACCTGACTGCTCTGGCCTGGCCTGGGGAAAGAACTTTGGGTAAAAAGGTATATTACTTTGTGGCTCGGGAGGGAAGTATATGTGACGTCACACCTTGTTGCTTTGTTTATAGCATTCAGTATTAGCGGCTGAGGGGCGGCTGAGGGGCGGCTGAGGGGCGGCGGGGAGTAACGGGGAGAGGTTGTTATTGTTTGTGATGGCATAAAAGATGAAAATAAGGGAAGGTGGACGTAGCTCAGGTGGCCGGAGCTCAGGTATAACTAGACAAAAATTACGACATATATAATCACCTCAAACACGTCACATATATCAGGTGAGAAAAATATTGAAGTATAGACACAGCTTTAAGGGTTATAGTTACACGCCACAGAAGTAGACAGCTATATTTACCATAGTATTATTTACACTTGTAGCGCCAGGTCGAGGGTGTGTGTGGTAGAGGGTAGAATGCCAAAAATAAAGCAACTTAATTTAAATATACGTAAATATACATAAATATACATAACTATGCATAAATAGAGGTTAAAACTAAAGTGATTGTGGATGTATATATGTGTGAGTGTTGAGTCATACTGTTGAGTCATACTGAGTGTTGAGTCATACTGTGAGTCATACTGAGTGTTGAATTATACTGTGAGTCATACTGAGTGTTGAGTCATACTGTGAGTCATACTGAGTGTTGAGTCATACTGTTGAGTCATACTGAGTGTTGGGTCATACTGTGAGTCATACTGAGTGTTGAGTCATACTGTTGAGTCATACTGAGTGTTGAGTCATACTGTGAGTCATACTGAGTGTTGAGTCATACTGTGAGTCATACTGAGTGTTGAGTCATACTGTTGAGTCATACTGAGTGTTGGGTCATACTGTTGAGTCATACTGAGTGTTGGGTCATACTGTGAGTCATACTGAGTGTTGAGTCATACTGTGAGTCATACTGAGTGTTTGGGGTATACTGTGAGTCATGCAGTGTTTAGGTATACTGATCATATAATTTGAATTATATAGTCATACTGAGTGGTAATTATACTGTAGGTCATACTAGTGTTAGGTCCATGCCTGTGATATACTGAGTGTTGAGTCATACTGTTGAGTCATACTAGTGTTGGAGTCATACTGTGAGTCATACTGAGTGTTGAATTATACTGAGTCATACTGAGTGAATCATACTGTGAGAGTCATACTGAGTGTTGAATTACTGTGGTCATAGGTGTTGAATTATACTGAGTCATACACTGGGTGTTGTGAGTCATACTGTAGGTCATACTGGGTGTTGCTTGAGTCATACTGTGAGTCATACTGAGTGTTAGATTATACTGTGAGTCATACTGAGTGTTGGATTATACTGTGAGTCATACTGAGTGTTGAGTCATACTGAGTGTTGAGTCATACTGTTGGAGTCATACTGAGTGTTGGAGTCATACTGTGAGTCATACTGAGTGTTAGATTATACTGTAAGTCATACTGAGTGTTAGATTATACTGTGGAGTCATACTGAGTGTTGAGTCCATACTGTGAGTCATACTAGGTGTTGGAGTCATACTGTTGAGTCATACTGAGTGTTGAGTCATACTGTGAATCTTTGAGTGTTGAGTCATACTGAGTGTGAGTCATACTGAGTGTGAGTCATACTGAGTGTTGAGTCATACTGAGTGTTGAGTCATACTGAGTGTGAGTCATACTGAGTGTGAGTCATACTGAGTGTTGAGTCATACTGAGTGTTGAGTCATACTGAGTGTGAGTCATACTGAGTGTGAGTCATACTGAGTGTTGAGTCATACTGAGTGTTGAGTCATACTGAGTGTGAGTCATACTGAGTGTGAGTCATACTGAGTGTTGAGTCATACTGAGTGTTGAGTCATACTGAGTGTTGAGTCATACTGAGGTGTTAGTCATACTGAGTGTTGAGTCATACTGAGTGTTGAGTCATACTGAGTGTTGAGTCATACTGAGTGTGAGTCATACTGAGTGTGAGTCATACTGAGTGTTGAGTCATACTGAGTGTTGAGTCATACTGAGTGTGAGTCATACTAAAGAAGGTATCTTTACTTAATTTTATTTACCCATTTATTTAAAAGTATATTATAAAAAGTACATATCTACTTTATCTATCTCTATATCTATCTAATCTATTGTCTATCCTTTATTTGTCATTTAAATCTATAAGTTACAAAAATAAAACAGAATAAATTATATAAGAACGAAAAAAAAACTTATTATTAGAATAAATCTACCGTGCTTTATTTATGAGGAGTTCAGTGATTGGCTCTCGGCTCGTAGTGGTCAGCCAATCATGTTGTGGGATAAGCTAAGCCAGGGTGTCCAGTGGGTAGCTCTAGGCCAATCACATTGCAGGAAAGCTTTAGCTATTTTAATTCATACAGGTGTGGCTGGGGTGGTCAGGTGACACACACACACACACCGCTGAACCACACCACTGGGCCACACCCGAGCACCTCTGAACGGCCACAAACAACGACTCCACCACCAGGAAGAGAGCACCGACCTATCGCCCTTTAACCTGTGCAGGTAGACGCTAGCCAGCCAGCCAGCCAGCCAGCCAGCCAGATAACCAGCCAGCCAGTCAGCTACATAACCAGCTAATAGTCAGTAAGCTAGTCAATTAAACCATCCCAACTACCCAGCAGCCAATCAGACCTCTTCCTCAATCTCCTTGAGCCAATCAGACCTCTCACTTAAGATCTAGCAATCAATCAGATCATCTACTACCCTTCAACCAATCATATACCCCCTTCATATATTTCAGCCAATCAGACCCTCTACTACATTTGAACCAATCACACACCCCTTCTCCTCCCTTTCAGCCAATCAGGACCTTCCCAACTACCCTCAAACCAATCACACAACCCCTCTCCTCCCTTTCAACCAATCACACACCCCTCTTCTCCCTTTTAGCCAATCAGAACTTTCCCTGTTACCCTTTCACCAATCATGCACCCCTCTCCTCCCTTTCAACCAATCAAACACCTCTTCTTCTTCCCTTTCAACCAATCACACCTTTCCTGGCTTACCTGAGGGGATGGGACAGGTGAGCTATGGCCGCCAGACGTTCCATCAGTTGAAACACCAAGTCAAGGAACTCATACTTGGAGGCAGAGGAAGAGAAGGTAGTACACATCAACAGGTGAACTTGGATGATGGGGAGGAGCCCCTAGTGATGATAGTTGACTTCGGAAGAGCTTGTCCTTAGCGTCGTATTGCCTGTCATGGCGAAGGAGGAGGAGAAGGAGAAAGAAAAATGAATGTTTTATCATTTATTCATTGATGATGTAGAGAAGAGGTGAGATATGAATCGTGACTCACAATTTTGACCTTTTAAACCAAAGTTGACTCATAATTTTAACCTTTTAAACCAAGAAAACTTTATTATCTTCGTTGAACAAAAAAAAAAAAAAACTATTTACCGTAGTTCAGAAAAATCAAAGGGAAATTATTTTTACTTTAACAAATGAAAGAAACATAATTTTAACTTTAGAGAATCAAAATGGGAAAACTCTAAGATGAATAGAATGAAAAGCATTTGATTTAGATGAAAGTGAGTATAATTTAGATTTAGAACCTTAAGTAAGCCTGATTTTGATCTAGAACTTAACTTTAGAAAGACAGATGAGGAGGAAACTTATCTTAAAAGCTTAAATGCAAAACGACATCATGCTTTGCCAGCTTAAATAAGGCAATATCAGATTCTTGAAAGAGGACATCAAAATCACAGAGCGTCTTTGGAATTCTTCTTGACATCATTAAGCCTAAATAGGAAGGACGGGGAAAAGAAGAAGGAGGAGGAGGAGGAGAAGGAAGAATCACACGAGTTACAACAACAACAGAAGGCGAAGGAGGAGGAGGAGTTACAAGACACAGTCCTTCGTCACTCACCCATCAACCTCCCTGAGCAGATTATCCTGGGTCCTCCTGACGGTCTCCTGAAGGTTCTCCGACAAGGTGTTAATATTGTGCTTCTCTGTTTCCATGTTCTTCCTCAACTCGTCTAACAGGGCTTTGAACAGGATCACTCCGTCACGTACTGAGTTCTGAAGCTCTCGTATGCTCTGTGGGAGAGAGGGAGGGTAGGAGGGAGGAGAAGGAGGTAGGGAGGGTAGGGTGGAGAGGAGGGAGAGAAAGGGAGGAGGAGGAGGAAAGGGGATGAGAGACAGAGGAGGGAGAGGGACGGAGGGAGAAGGAGGGAGAAAAAGGGAAGGAGAATGAGGGAGGGAGGGAGGGAGGGAGGGAGTGATGGAAGGAAGGAGAGGAGGAAGAAGAGAGGAAAAAGGAGAGCGAGAGAAAGAAGGACGAACGGAATGGGTCAAAGAGAGGGAGGGATAAAGAGAAGGAGAAGAGGAAGGGGGAGAAGGGAGAAAAAAGAGGTGTGGGAGGGAGAAAAGGAGGTGAAGGAAGGAGTGAGGGAGGGCGAGAAATATGCAAATAAGTTTAGTAGGTGAAACCATCATAGGAATTTGAAGTCAACTAATATATATTTGTTTTGCTATAGAGTTATAAGAGGTGATAATTGTTTACACACACACACACAGACACACACACACACACACACACACACACACACACACACAGACACATACACACACACAAGACACACACACACACACACTAAGATACAGAATGAGGCAGAGAGAGAGAGAGAGATAAATAATTAGAATAAGAGACAGAATGAAAGAGGTAGAGAGAGGAATAAAAGACAGTCAGATAGAACAAGAGATAGAGATAGAATGCGAGAATAGAGATAGTATGTGAGAGATGAGATAAAGATAGTATGTGAGGAGATGAGATGAGTATGTGAGAGATGGAGATAGAGATGGTATGTGAGGAGTAGAGATAGTATGTGAGGAGATAGAGATAGTATGTGAGAGAATGAAGATGGAGATAGTATGTGAGGGAGAGATAGTGTGAGAGGAATAGAGATGGTATGTGAGAGAGATAGAATAGAGATAGTATGTGAGATAGAGATAGTGTGTGAGAGATAGAGATGGTGTGTGAGATAGAGATAGAGATGGTATGTGAGAGATGAGATGGAGATGGTGTGTGAGGAGATGAGAGATAGAGATGGTATGTGAGATAGAGATGGTATGTGAGATAGAGATGGTGTGATGAGATGAGAGATGAGATGGTATGTGAGGAGATGGGAGGTGGTATGTGTGAGGAGATGGGGAGATGAGAGATGGTATGTGAGATGAGATGGTGGAGGATGAGAGATGAGAGATGGTGTGTGAGGAGATGGAGATGGTGTGTGAGGATGGGGGATGGTGTGTGAGGATGGGGATGGTGTGTGGGGATGGGGATGGGGGATGGTGTGTGGGATGGGGATGGTGTGTGGGGATGGGGATGGGGATGGTGTGTGGGGATGGGGATGGGGATGGTGTGTGGGGATGGGGATGGTGTGGGATGGGATGGTGTGTGGGGATGGGGATGGGGATAGTATGTGAGAGATAGAGATAGTATGTGAGAGATAGAGATAGAGATAGTATGTGAGAGATAGAGATAGAGATAGTATGTGAGAGATAGAGATAGTATGTGAGAGATAGAGATAGTATGTGAGAGATAGAGAAGAGTAGAGTTCAAATTTGGAGGTGAATCATAACTGAATGAGTAGCTGTACCTGAAGAGTCTAGTGTGCTATCTCTCTCTCTCTCTCTCTTTCGCTCACTCTCTATCTCTCTTTACATATATCTCTCCTCTCTCTCTCTTTTTCTCTCTAGCTTTCTCTTTAGCTCTCCTTCTCTTTATTTAGCTCTCTCTCTCTCTTTATTTTTCTCTCTAGCTTTCTCTCTCTGTCTAGATTTCTTTCTATCTCTCTTGCTCTCTATCTCTCTCTTTCTTTTATTTGACCTCTGTCTGTTTCTCTCTCTCTCATCTGTATCGAGTCTCCATTTATCCGTGAATTGTCTGTCTGTCTGTACACCCCTTTCCTACCTGTCTACTCTTCTCTTATCATCATTTACTCCTGTCTATCTTCCTATCTGTCTATAGTCTCTTACTCACTTTAATTATCAAGTATTTTCACTTTTCATTTTAATTATCACTCGTCTTTAATAATAAATTACAACTATTCATCTGTAATAATAAAAATAATAATAACAATAACAGTAGTAATAACAATAACAACAATAATAACAACAATAACAACCCAAAACAATAACAATAACATCAACCACCACCACAACACTCACCATGGCAGCGCGGTCCAGTTTCTGACGCGCCTGACTGTAAGCGACATCTATGGGGAGTAATGTTTCCCCTGGTAGCTGAGGGAGGTGTAGTGGGAGGTTAGTTCATCACACACACACACACACACACACACACACGTTTACAGGTTAATTAGGCTGGCTGTAGGTGTGTGGTGTGGTTGTGTAGGTGTGGTGTGGGTGTGTGGCTGTTGTGATTGTATGGGTGTGATTGTGTAGGTGTGGTGTGGGTGTGTGGCTGCTGTGATTGTGTAGGTGTATGCATGTGTGTGTGTGTGTATTTATGTGCGTATGTATACTTATGCATGTATGTATATGTATGAATGTGAGTGCGTGTATACATGTATAGACACACACACACATGTAGTTTTATTATCACAAGGTCAAAAATCAACAAGTTTATATCTACAATATATTTAGCTGTAGTAAGCGTTAGTTAACTACGCAGACAAACAAACAAATGGTCAAACAAACAAACAAAAAACTATTTATACTTCTCTTATTTCAGGTTTACAGTTCTTTTATTTCTGTTTGTTAGTGATGTCTTCAGAGGAGTCTTTTTTTTACCCAGGATGGACGAGAGAGAGAGAGAGAGAGAGAGAGAGAGAGAGAGAGAGAGAGAGAGAGAGAGAGAGAGAGAGAGAGAGAGAGTAAAACGAATAAAAAATAATCAAGAACGACAAAACAACAACAAATACATAAAAAACAAACAAAGAATAATAAAATAAATAAATTACAGCAATATTAAGACACACACACACACACACACACACACACACACACACACACACACACACACACACACACACACACACACACCCAACTCGCGCAGACCGCCACTACAACAAAATTCAGAGCCCGCACCGATAAATATAAGAACAGCACCATCCCATCTATTGTTAAAATAATAAACAACTCCTGATTTATGTACTGTACAGCCCTGTAAATGTATTCAACGCATATTATATCATTATGTCTAAATCAAATGTAAGTCTGTATATTTTCAGTCACCGGCTGCAACTCTATTAATAAACCGTTTATTATTATTTATTATTATTATTACACACTTTTTTTTTCTTTCACTACAAATTAGGTTTACTTAAGTGTGTGTGTGTGTGTGTGTGTGTGTGTGTGTGTGTGTGTGTGTGCGTGTGTGTGTGTCTCAGAGGTCGGTAACACGAAGCAATCTAACATACATACATACATACATATTCTAAAGTCAACATCAAATTCATAACGCTCAAATCTCAAACAAACACACATACATAATAAATACAAGTAAAAAAACACATCAAACACCTACAAAAAAACACAAACAAACAAACAAACATCCTTGAAAAACCAACAAACAAACACACACACACACAATCAAGCATGCACCTACGAAAGTAAACAAACCGTATCAAAGAAAATGAAACAGTATTAAGAGGGGTAACTCAAACATCTACACACAGACGCGATAAAAAAGAGAGCATCACTGACCCCACCACCCCCCCCCCCCCCCACCCTGAAGCCTTGCACAAGACGAGAGGTTAGTGGTGAAGAGGCGTTTGTGGTGGAGAAAGAGGGTTAGAGGTGGTGTTGGAGATGGGGGAGGTGGTGGAGAGGGGGAGAGGAGGGGTAGGTAATAGTGTTGAAGGGAAGACGAAAGAAAGAATAAAAAAGAGGAAGAAAGAAGGAAGAGATAAGTGTTGGTGAAGAAAAGGAGAGGGAGAGAGGGTCGGAGTGGGATCGGAGTAGGGGGGTGGGGAGAGAAGGAGGAGGCGGGGAAAAGTCACTTACCATTACAGCCCTGTCGAGTTTCTTGCACCCCTGTGAGTAGGCGGTCTCGAGGTCGATACAGTGAAGGCGGGCGTCGATGGATGACTCTCTGAAGCAAGTGATACACAACATAGTCCTCTTGGTGGTGGAGAACATGATCTGTGGCTCTCCATGCACCGTGCACTGTCGGAGGAAGAGGTGGAAGAGGAGGGTGGAGGAAGAGGAAGGGGGAGGAAGAGGAGGAGAGAAACATAAGTCGTTGATTATTATATACAGTATATTAGTATATATACATACGTTGAGCATAATATACATAGCGACGTTAAGCATATATACACACACGTTAATCATCACTCACACACACACACACACACACACACACACAACAACCACCGTCACCACAACAACAACCAGGTAAATTAAGGCGAGAGAGAGAAACATTTTAAAGTTCCCGCCACAACATATTAAAAAAGATCCTTCATGGACAAACAGTGCCCCTCCTCCCTCCCTCCCTCTCTCCCTCACCATCCTTCCCTCCCTTACTGTCCCTCACTCCACCATCTCCTCACCCTTACCCTGCCTTCTCTCCCACCTACCTTCCTTCCCCCGCCTCCCACACCTTTACAAAATAAAGCAGGTATAAGAGTTAATGAACGTAATTACAATAGTAAACACAACATCCAGAAGCTACAGATATTCGGCATCAGACTGGACCAATTAAAACGACTAATCAGATTTTACTGTATTTCAACTGGCTGTAAGTGCAGCTCGCTAATAGGGGCGGGCTAGTCATGAAATCCATCCACACACACACACACACTGACACACACACACACACACACACACACACACACACACACACACACACACACACACACACAGACTGATATTCCATTTACCAATCTACAATTGTGTGTGTGTGTGTGTGTGTGTGTGTGTGTGTTGTGTGTGTGTGTGTGTGTGTGTGTGTTGTGTGTGTGTGTGTGTTAGTGGGGTGGGGGTGACATGTACTGGTAGGTCAACTTTACATGACGTGGAACTCTCTCTCTCTCTCTCTCTCTCACACACACACACACACACACACACATGTACGTTATACTTCCAGGCATGCATGTACACCCAAATAACCATACAAAATTTCGCAGACGACTTTCTCAGACTAGATACTCACCAACTATGGGTTTCCGAGGTGTCTTTTAGGTGTTTTTGTGTTATTCAGGAAGGACTTAACCATTTCAACACTTAAATTTCAACTCCGAGAGAAAAGTATATTTATGGACAAATATTCTTAAGCCATTAGACTCACTGCATGTTTCGGCACCAATATCACGTGTTCAATAGGAGTTTGTTCAATATATGAGTATGGTGATTCAGAATCTATGGCCCATATGTCGATTGCTGAGTAATTAGTGGTCATAATGACGCTTGGAATATTTTAATGACATTATTATTTTTTCAATTCTGATTATTACCAGGCGTGGGGGTTATTAAGTTTCAAATTTAAATAGTTTAGTTAGTGTTCTTTTTATTTCTCGATTATGTTAAGTTAACCAGTATTTTAAAAGTTATTTAATTGTTTCATGTCTGACACACACACACACACACACACACACACACACACATCCTTGACCACCGAAGGTTCAAGACGTACCTGGCGCTCCTCTCGGAGCAGCCAGGTCACCTGTTAAGTTGGCCCATACCAACCCCCTCCCCTGAACCCTCCTCCCCACCGGAATATCAACAAGTTCTCGCCAGAAGTTACAATTTCATTTAGGAAAGGAATGGAACCAGTGTTAAACAGAGATGAACAGTGGTGAACAGTGCTTAAGTCAGTGAGAACAACTCAACAGTAACAGTCGTACCCAAGTTAACCTTCACACAGTGAGGTCCCAGGTACCCAGTGATAACGGCCAGTGAGACCCAACAACAACCAGTGATGTGTTAATCCGTCTACGATAGGAAGGCCTAAGACCAAACCTCACTCATATAACACCATCTGTGAGGGAATTACTACACATGTCCCTCATAACACCATATGTGAGGGAATTACTACACCACGTCAGGCCCCTCATAACACCATCTGTAAGGGAATTACTACACCACGTCAGGCCCCTCATAACACCATCCGTGAAGGAATTACTACACCACGTGAGGTCCCTCATAACACCATATGTGAGGGAATTACTACACCACGTCAGGCCCCTCATAACACCATCTGTGAGGGAATTACTACACCACGTGAGGCCCCTCATAACACCATCTGTGAGGTAATTACTACACCACGTGAGGTCCCTCATAACACCATCTGTGAGGGAATTACCACACCACGTGAGGCCCCTCATAACACCATCTGTGAGGTAATTACTACACCACGTGAGGCCCCTCATAACACCATCCGTGAGGGAATTACTACACCACGTGAGGTCCCTCATAACACCATCTGTGAGGGAATTACTACACCACGTGAGGCCCCTCATAACACCATCTGCGAGGGAATTACTACACCACGCCAGGTCCCTCATAACACCATCTGAGGGAACTACTACACCACGTGAGTTCCTCCTAACACCATCTGTGAGGGAATTACTACACCACGTGAGGTCCCTCCTAACACCATCTGGGAGGGAGTTACTACACTACGAGTTTGCTGTTCAACACCTACATTAATCTGTATGTTCACTGTATGTTCCTTTACCTTTCTCCAATGAAGGCTTTTGTTAAACCATCAATGTATGTAATAAGTCATTTATGTCCAATGTATATTTTCAGCCTTCGGGCTGCAGAATTTTTTCAATAAACCGTTAATTATTATTATTATTATTTATTACACACACACGGAGACGTACATGGATAAACACTCACCCCACCAGAAGTTAAACTGGACAGGAGGCCTTTAAACCTAACCTAATATATACATAACATCATATTGATAGTAGCCAGGGAGGTACTACCGCCTAGGAAGATATTAGAAGCATAATGTGGTGACTAATGGTAGACCCTGCTGCCATATGTGACCAAGTCCCGGGTTGATGATCTGACTTTCTGCCTCATTTACACACAATTGCAAGGTCTCAATTGTTTCTCTTACTTTGACAACACAACATACATAATTATATTGTTTCTCTATTGATCTGTTTTCATTTTTTTTGTATTTCCGTATTTGTTTCTTCTTTTGCTAATCCCCATAACATGTCAACAAATAAACACACATTGACAAAAGATAAATACCAACACACACCAACATGCACACAGTGTACATCATACAAACACTCATGTACTCACACAAACACACACACTCATACACCCAAACAAGCAAGATTAACACAGTTCATGGTATGGAGGCTTCAACTCTCTCTCTCTCTCTCTCTCTCTCGATGCAAGATAACTATATTCTTGGTTATATATCACAATACAAACTGCAAGAGGAGCTACAACCTGTGTGTGTGTATGCGTGTGGTGTATAATACAATCGGTGTATATTGTATACTACACTGGGCACACCTAACTAACACAATCTCTATCTCAAAGCTGCTGCCAGTCACTGTATACACCCAACAATTTCTGTGGCATTATGATATCACTGCCTTGTGTATGTATGTATGTGTGTATGTATGTATGTATGTAATCACGGTATATGGAGATGTTTTTTTTTTTTTGGCTAAATAAGAAAAGGTACAGAGAGAGAGAGAGAGAGAGAGAGAGAGAGACACTCACCTTCCTCATTCTTTCACCTCTCTTGACATGTATTATATCATGAAGATGGAAAAACATCCGAGCCTGGCGTGTGTCTCTTCCTGGCATGACCACACAACAACAACACCTGACCTGTGGGAGAGAGAGGCTGTGGGAGAGCTGGGAGAGTGAGGGGTGGGGGGGTTGGGGAAGGAGGGGGGGTGGGAGAGGAGGGGTAGGAGGGAGGGGGGGTGGGAGGAGGGGGGGGGGTGGGAGGGGTGAGGGGGGTGGGAGTGGAGGGGGGGGGAGAGGAGGGGGTGGGAGGAGGGGTGGGAGGAGTGGAGGGGGTGGGAGTGAGGGGGGAGAGGAGGGGGTGGGAGTGAGGGGAGAGGAGGGGGGTGGGAGGAGGGGGAGGGGTGGGAGGAGGAGGGAGGGGGGTGGGAGTGAGGAGGGGGTGGGGAGAGTGAGGAGGGGGGGTGGGAGAGTGAGGGGCTGGGAAGGTGAGGGGGTGGGAGTGAGGGGTGGGAGGGAGGGGGTGGGAGTGAGGGGGGGGGAGGGAGGGGGTGGAGAGGAGGGGGGAGAGTGAGGGGGTGGGAGTGAGGGGGAGTTGGGAGAGTGAGGTGGGAGGGGGTTGGGGAGATGGGAGGAGGGGGGGGGGTGGGAGAGTGGGGAGGGAGGGGGGTGGGAGAGGAGGGGTGGGGGGTGGGAGAGTGGAGGGGTGGGGGTGGGGAGAGTGGAGGGGGGTGGGAGAGTGAGGGGGTGGGGGTAGAGGGAGGGGGGGCTGGGAGAGGAGGGGTGGGGAGAGTGAGGGGGCTGGGAGAGGAGGGGGAGTGGAGGGAGGTGGGAGAGTGAGGGGGGCTGAGTGAGGGGCTGGGAGAGTGAGGGGGAGTGAGGGGAGGGGTGGAGAGTGAGGGGAGCTGGGAGTGAGGGGGAGCTGGGAGAGTAAAGGAAAGGGGAACATGACAAACTGGTTAATATTATCACAAATGGTACAGACACACAGACAGACAGACACACAGACAGACCATGACAGAATGGTTAGTTTTATCACAGCACAATGGCAGACAGATAAAGATATACACAGACAGACAAAACATAGAAACAGACACAGAAACAGACAGATAGACACAGCCACACAGACAGAGACAGATAGACAGCGACAAAGACAGACACAGACACACAGATATTGAAAGACAGAGACAAAAAACAGTAAGTGAGACATAGATACAGCCACTGACCACAGGTATTACAGAAGAACATGGCGGACTGGTTAGTTTTATCACAGTTGGCACATTGGGGCCTCTCCTCACACGACGACTCCACCAGGAACACCATCAGGTTGTCTCGTGGTGGTAACTGTCCCTCCTTCAGCCCCGTCACCTTCCTGCAGGAGAGATTCGTGTGAGAGATAATAGAGGGGGGGGGAGAGAGAGAGATATAGGGTCGTTTACCTGTCTGTCTCTCTCTCTCTCTCTCAGCTCCGTCACCTTCCTGCAGGAGAGAGAGAGAGAGAGAGAGAGAGAGAGAGAGAGAGAGAGAGAGAGAGAGAGAGAGAGAGAGAGAGAGAGAGGAGGAGGTAGGGGGAGAGAGATATAGGTTTGCTTAGGCCCTCTCTCTCAGTCTACCTTCCAGGAGAGAGAGAGAGAGAGAGAGAGAGAGAGAGAGAGAGAGAGAGAGAGAGAGAGATAGTGTGTTGTGTGTGTGTACTTAGTATGAGCTCATTGGTTAGCGCAGCTTATTAACATTGTTGCAGTCCGGGAGTAAAGGAAACTGGCAGGCTTAGGAGAAGCAAGTATCGTTGTCGGTTAGATTGCTAGGATGGGTTAGGGGTTAGGTTAGGTTGGGTTTGGTTAGATTTTGTTAGATGGAGAAGAAGGATGGGTTAGGGATGGGTTGAGAGTTAGTTAGGTTAAGGTTAGTGGGTTGGCTTGAGTTAGATGGTTAGATGGTTAGGTAGTATAGGCAGGTTGAAGACATTTAATCATCTGATGAAATAAATCTAGCTGGGTCTAACCTGCCGCCAGTCTTCCTCCTGATTGGCGAGTAGCCGTCATAACCCCGAACCATTAGCTGGCTAAATCTCAACTCTCACATCCCATTGGAGGAGTCTAACTACCCTCGTAACCAACGGGATATTGAAAGAGAAACTTGTAATCTTATGATTGGTCGGCGTTGTCTCGCACGGACCAATGAGCAGCCGGCCTCTCCACCCCCCCAATATCTTGCCGTCTGAAGGAAAAACACGACGCCAAGAGGAAAAATACGAGACTCATACACGAAATGTAAACACGAGTATGACTCCGCTCGCCGCTGTTGTCTTGCTCATACCGGCGTTGTCTTGTTCATACGTGTTGTTCATACTGGTGTTGTCTTGTTCATACTGGTGTTGTCCTGTTTATATTTGGAAGGTTCTTGTTCATACTGGTGTTGTCTTGTTCATACTGGCGTTGTCTTGTTCAGTACTGGTGTTGTTCTTGTTCATACTGGTGTTGTCTTTGTCTACTACCGGTGTTGTCTTGTTCATACCGGTGTTGTCTTAATTCATACCGGTGTTGTCTTGTTCATACTGGTGTTGCTTTGTTCATACTGGCGTTGTCTTGTTCATACTGGTGTTGTCTTGTTCATACCGGTGTTGTCTTGTTCATTCGGTGTTGTTCCTGTTCATCGGCGTTGTCTTGCTCATACCGTGTTGTCTTGTTCATACTGGTGTTGTCTTGTTCATACTGGCGTTGTCTTGTTCATACCGGTGTTTTCTTGTTATACTGGCGTTGTCTTGTTCGGTTACCGTGGTGTTGTCTTGTTCATACCGGTGTTGTCTTCTTCTACTGGTGTTGTCTTGTTCATACTGGTGTTGTCTTGTTCATACTGGTGTTGTCTTGTTCATACCGGTGCTGGTTCTTGTTCATACCGGTGTTGTCTTGTTCATACTGGCGTTGTCTTGTTCATACTGTCTTGTCTTGTTTCATGTTGTCTTGTTCATACCGTGCTGTCTTGCTCATACTGGTGTTGGTCTTGTTCATACTGGTGTTGTCTTGTTCATACTGGTGTTGTCTTTGTTCATACTGGCGTTGTCTTTTACTGCTTGCTGTCTTGTCTTGCTACTGGTGTTGTCTTGTTCATACTGGGTTGTCTTGTTCATACCGGCGTTGTCTTGTTTTATACTGGCGTTGTCTTGTTCATACTGGTGTTGTCTTGTTCATACTGGTGTTGTCTTGTTCATACTGGCGTTGTCTTGTTCATACTGGCGTTGTCTTTGTTCATACTGGTGTTGTCTGTTCATACTGGTGTTGTCTTGTTCATACTCGGTGTTGTCTGTTCATACGGTGTTGTCTGTTCATACTGGTGTTGTCTGTTCATACTTGGCGTTCTGTTCATACCGGTGTTGTCTGTTCATACTGGCGTTGTTCTGTTCATACTGGTGTTGTCTTGTTCATACTGGCGTTTGTCTTGTTCATACTGGTGTTGTCTTGTTCATACTGGTGTTGTCTTGTTTATACCGGCGTTGTCTTGTTCATAATGGTGTTGTTTTGTTCATACTGGCGTTGTCTTGTTCATACTGGTGTTGTCTTGGTTCATACTGGTGTTGTCTTGTTCATACCGGTGTTGTCTTGCTTATACTGGTGTTGTCTTGTTCATACCGGCGTTGTCTTGTTCATACTGGTGTTATCTTGTTCATATGGTGGTTTTGTTGTCTTGTTCATACCGGCGTTGTTCTGTTCATACCGGCGTTGTCTTGTTCATACTGGTGTTGTCTTGTTCATACCAAGTTGTCTTGTTCATACTCGGCGTTGTCTTGTTCATCCGGGTCTTGTTTGTGTTGTTCTGATACTGGCGTTGTCTTGTTCATACTGGTGTTGTTCTTGTTCATACCGGCGTTGTCTTGTTCATACCGGTGTTGTCTTGTTCATACTTTCGTTGTCTTGTTCATACTGGATGTTGTCTTGTTCATACCGGCGCGTTGTTCCTGTTCATACTGGTGTTGTCTTGTTCACTGGCGTTGTCTTGTTCATACCGTTGTCTTGTTCATACCGGCGTTGTCTTGTTCATACTGGTGTTGTCTTGTTCATACTTGGCGTTGTCTTGTTCATACTGGCGTTGTCTTGTTCATACCTGGCGTTGTCTTGTTCATACTCGGCGTTGTCTTGTTCATACTGGCGTTGTCTTGTTCATACTGGCGTTGTCTTGTTCATACCTGGTGTTGGTTCTGTTCATACTGGCGTTGTCTTGTCTGCTCGGGTTGTCTTGTTCATACTGGCGTTGTCTTGTTCATACCGGTGTTGTCTTGTTCATACTGGCGTTGTCTTGTTCATACTGGCGTTGTCTTGTTCATACTGGCGTTGCCTTGTTCATACTGGCGTTGTCTTGTTCATACTGGTGTTGTCTTGTTCATACTGGTGTTGTCTTGTTCATACCGGTGTTGTCTTGTTCATACTGGCGTTGTCTTGTTCATACTGGCGTTTTCTTGTTCATACTGGCGTTGTCTTGTTCATACTGGCGTTGTCTTGTTCATACTGGTGTTGTCTTGTTCATACCGGTGTTGTCTTGCTCATACTGGTGTTGTCTTGTTCATACTGGCGTTGTCTTGTTCATTCTGGCGTTGTCTTGTTCATACTGGCGTTGTCTTGTTCATACTGGTGTTGTCTTGTTCATACTGGCGTTGTCTTGTTCATACTGGCGTTGTCTTGTTCATACTGGCGTTGTCTTGTTCATACTGGCGTTGTCTTGTTCATACTGGCGTTGTCTTGTTCATACTGGCGTTGTCTTGTTCATACTGGCGTTGTCTTGTTCATACTGGCGTTGTCTTGTTCATACTGGTGTTGTCTTGTTCATAAAACAACACAAACACCCATAACAACAACATCACAGACAAATAAACAACAAGAACAACAACAGGAAGGCTGGAATAATCTCCTCAGCGGCCGTATTAACAAAAGTCAAGAAGGAAGTTTATCATTTAAATTATAACTTAAAAAGAAAAAAATTAAATGGAGGAAGTTTCTCTTTTATCCTCAACTTGAGTTTAATTCAACCGTACGAGGCGCCAATTTCCCCCGGGAAGAATGTACAATAATCTAAATGTTAAGGCAGATTATCAAACTTTCCCTATCAATTTACGGTGTGGGAGGGGTTTGGGAGGGATGTGGGAGGGGTTTGGGAGGGGTTTGGGAGGGGCTGGATGGGAGTGAGAGAGATTGGAGGAAGGGCGGGGCCTTTTTTTTCCTACTCAGACAATGACGAATAGTGGCCCCAGAAAGTGTCTGAGTTCGTGACGTTATACATACTTCTCTCTGGTTGGTGGGATTTTGGATGCTGAGGCGAGCTACGTCACCGTTGATTGGCTCTGGTTGTGTCTGAGTTGCGTGACGTTGTGGATGCTTTTGCTCACTGATTGGAGGATTCTTGTGTCTGAGAAAGGTGACGTCATGGATACCTTTCGTTGGTTAGTGGCCTCCAGAGTCTGAGGCTTGTGACGTCACAGAAGCTCTTTCCCGTAGGATCGGCTTCCAAGCATCAAAGGAACGGGGCTTCATCCAATACTTTTGTTCACTGATCGCCTCTCCTATTTCAAAGGAGCGTGACGTTATCAAAGTCTTTCGCGGAGTCGTGGACTTTTAAGAGTTTTGGGTACGTGACGTCATTGAAGTTCCTCTTTCTGATTGGTTGACAGGATGCCGTGGTGGGAATATTTTGTCACACGTAACCTCCAATGTCACAACAACGTAACACTTCTAATTTTAAGAGTCAAAGTGTTGAAGCCTCTCACTCTCCCTCTCCATGTGAGTGTAAAGTGTTTGCAGGTAACAAAAGCTCCCTGGGTGATTGTCTCCCTGGGTGTGTGTGTGTGTGTAAAGTGTTGGACGCTATCAAAGCATCTCTGATTGGCTCGTAAGTGACAAAGATGTTTGACGTTATAAAAGGTCCTCACTGATTGGCTCCTAAGTGACAAAGATGATTGACGTTATCAAAGCCTCTCGCTGATTGGCTCCTAATGGACAAAGATGTTTGACGCCATAAAAGCTCTCCGCGGATTGGTACACAAGAGGAGGTGTTATATAGCGGTGTGGCGTAAAGTAGTTCCAGTATTTAATTGTTTCCGCTAATACACTTCACTAAACACACACACACATATAATCATTAGCTTATAACGTAATAATGATAATTTCGTATAATTTATTTAGGAATAATATAATAAGAATACATATAGATAAATAAGATGTATATACGGTACATAAATTAATAAAATATAATAATAAAAATTGAGAAACGTATCAAGAATAATGTAAAGAGAGAAAGGGAGAATTGAGTAAGAGATAAGATGAAATATATGGAGAGAGAAAGAAGAGATATGAGAGAGATATAATGAGATGAAGAAAAAGAAGTAGAGAAGGAAATAGAAAGAGGAGAAAAAGATAATTTAGAAGATAAAATACCGAGAAATAAGAGAAAATTAAGAGACAGAGAACTAAAAAGAGAAATGAGAGAAGATATAGAGGAAGACATGAAAGAAATTAAAGATAATTAAAGAGAATGAAAAAGAGATAAGGAGAGAAAAATAAGAGAAAATACACAAATTTAAAGAGAACAATATGGTTAGCATTGGATCATGTTAGATTAGGTTAGGTTCAATTACGGGTCTTAACAGGTCTCGACAGTTCCCCTTCAGTTCTCAAATGGTCTCGTCAGCTTCTGACAGGTCCAGGGCCAGTTAGAGTGGGGAGGAGGGGTGGGGTGCAGGGTAGAGGGGGGGGTAAAGTGAGAGGTGGTAATGAGTGGTCATTAGTAGACGTCAACAGTGAGATATTACATTCTCTCACCCCATCAGGAAGGAGGGGGGAGGTGATCAGGGTGAGGGGGGGAGGTGATCAGGGTGAGGAGAGAGAGATACTCACCCACACAGCGGACACACTATCTTGGAGTCGTGTAGTCTGGGTCTAAGGCAGTGGGGAAGGTGTGGTAGCAGGCCAGGAGGCAGGCTGTCGTACAGCTCCTCACACAGCCAACACAAGAGTGGGTTGCGGCTCCACTGCTCCAGGGTGTCTTCCAGGGTACCACCGCCGCCCCCGCCGCCCCCAGGACCACCATACTGGCCACCTTCGCCGCCCACCTGTCCTCCTGATGATACAGAGGGGAGGCCCCGCCCTGGCCCGCCCTGTCCACTGGTTGTGCCGCCCCGCCGGGCCGTGCCACCAGCCGCGGCAGCTGCTGAGGGTGGGGGAGGGCCGCCCGGACCGCTGGTGCCGGGAATGCCGCCCCTGGGTGGGCTGCCGCCACCCCCCCGGCCCCACTCCCCTCACGGCTCCCGTGACTCGCCGCCAGCCTGCTTACCCGGCCATCTTACCCTGAGGGAGAACAATAGTTAGTTATCATCATGGCCACACAACAGACTGGTATAATACGTCAACAAGAGTAGTTACCACAGGTGAGCCACTGGGAGGACAACACACCACATCTCTTCATAATCTCTAATTTCTTGGATGTGCTCGTCTCTCAGTCTCCATCTCTAGCTCCCTGAAGACCGTCTCCCACTGCCATCTCAACACTCACCTTCAAGCTACAACTCGACGTATTATCCTGGTGGAGGAAATAACACAACTTTCTCCTTGATTTTCATGTTGTTAGCGTGTGTCTATGTTGGGGTTAGCACGTCCACTGCACTCGTCTCTAAAGCCAGTTTACGATTGGCTAACACCGCACATAACGCCCATTCCACCAATCACTGCACTCGTTTCTCAAGTCAGTTTATGATTCGTTAAAACACTCGACCCGATTTTCATTCCACCAATCACTGCACTCGTTTCTCAAGCTGGGTTTACGATTGGTTGGCCAGACGCCCCACGTGACGCTCCTCCCATCCAATGAAAATCAACTGTCAATAAGACGACGTCGACAATCATATAAATGGGTCATATATGTTATCACTGGTTGGCATTGCCTTTGATCGCTCCCTTACCCTCCTTCTTCCTCTCCTTTTCCTCTGTGGTCTGTGTATTGGGAGAGGAAGGAGAGAGTGTGTGTGTGTGTGTGTGTGTGTGTGTGTGTGTGTGTGTGTGTGTGTGTGTGTGTGTGTGTGTGTGTGTGTGTGTGTGTGTGTGGGTTTTCCTTACAAGTGGTATTGGTACTATGCTATTTATTTATATTGATTTAAGCACACACACACACACACCCTCCCCACACACACACCTCTGAGGATAATATCTTAGTGAGAGGCTCTCTCTTACTCTTCCTCCTCTTCCCCAAAAACGTTCTCTCCCTTTTCCTCCTCCTCCTCCTCGTCCAACCTCTTCCCCAACACTTTCTCCCCTCTTCTTCTTCTTCTTCTTCCTCCTCCTCCTCTTCCCCTCCTCCTCCTCCTCTTGCTCCCCTCCTCCTCCTCCTCCTCCTCCTCTTACCCCTCCTCTCCTCCTCCTCCTCCTCTTACCCCCCTCCTCCTGCTCTTCCCAAAGTTCCCCCCTCCTCCTCCTCCTCCTCCTCTTACCCCCTCCTCCTCCTCTTCCCCCAAGTTCCCCCTCCTCCTCCCTCCTCTCCCTCTTCCCCAATTCCCCCCCCTCCTCCTCCTCCTCCTCCTCTTCCCCTCCTCCTCCTCTTCCCCAAGTTCCCCTCCCTCTTCCTCCTCCTCCTCCTCTTCCCCTCCTCCTCTCCTCTTTTTCCCCCCCTCCTCCTCTCTTCCCCAAGTTCCCCCCCTCCTCCTCCTCCCCATTCCCCTCCCTCTCCTCCCCTCCTCTTCCCAATTCCCCTCCCTCCTCCTCTCTCTCTTCCCAAGTTCCCCTCCTCCTCCTCCTCCTCTCCTCTTCCCCAAAGTTTCCCCCCTCCTCCTCCTCCCCTCCTCCTCTTACCCCCTCCTCCCTGCTCTTCCCATTCCCCCCTCCTCCTCCTCCTCCTCTTACCCCCTCTCCTCCCTCTTCCCCAATTCCCCTCCTCCTCCTCCTCCTCCTCTTCCCCAAGTTCCCCCCTCCTCCTCCTCCTCCTCCTCTTCCCCCTCCTCTCCCTCTTCCCCAAGTTCCCCTCCTCTTCCCTCCTCCTCCTCCTCTTCCCCCCCTCCTCCCTCCTCTCTCTTACCTCCTCCTCTCCCCTCTTTACCCCTCCTCCTCCTCTTCCCCAAATTCCCCCCCTCCTCCTCCTCTTCCCCATTCCCCCTCCTCCCTCCTCCTCCTCCTCCTCTTCCCCAAGTTCCCCTCCTCCTCCTCTCCTCATACCCCCTCCTCCTCCTTTCCCCAAAATTTCCCCCTCCTCCTCTCCTCTCCTCTTCCCCAAGTTCCCCCCTCTCCTCCTCCCTTCTCCTCCTCTTCCCCAATTCCCCTCTCCTCCTCTCCTCCTCCTCCTCTTACCCCCTCCTCCCTCCTCCTCTCCTCCCTCCTCCGCCCCTCCTCCTCCTCTTCCCATTTCCCTCCTTCTCCTCTTACCCCCTCCTCCTCCTCCTCTCCTCCTCTCTTACCCCTCTCCTCCTCCTCCTCCTCCTCCTCCTCTTACCCCCTCCTCCCTCCTCCTCCTCCTCTTCCCCCTCCTCCCTCCTCCCTCCTCCTCTCCTCTTCCCCAAGTTTCCCTCCCCTCCTCCTCCTCCTCACCCCACTCCCTCCTCCTCCTCCTCCTCCTCCTCTTTCCACCCCCCTCCCTCCTCCTCCTCCTCCTCCTCTTACCCCCTCCTCCTCCTCCTCCTCCTCCTCCTCCCTCTCTCCCACCCCTCCTCCTCCCTCCCTCTCCTCCTCCCTCCTCCTCCCACCCCCTCCTCCCTCCTCCTCCTCCCTCCTCCTCCCCTCTTCCCCCCCTCCCTCCCTCCTCCTCTTCTCCAAGTCCCCTCCTCCTCCCTCCTCTTCCTCCCTCTTCCCCCAAGTCCCCTCTCCTCCTCCTCCCCTCTCCCCTCTTCCCCAGTTCCCCTCCTTCCTCCTCTCCTCCTCTCCTACCCCTCCTCCTCCACCTCTCCTCCTCAAACCCCTCTCCTCCTCTTCCCCATTTCCCTCCTCCTCCTCCTCCTCCTCTCCTTACCCCCTCTCCTCCTCTTCCCCTTCCCCTCCTCCTCCTCCTCCTCCTCTCCCTCCCCACCCCCCTCCTCCCTCTTCCCCGTCCCCCTTCTCCTCCTCCCTCCTCCTCCCCTCCCCCCAAATCCCCTCCTCCTCTCCTCCTCCTCCTCTTACCCCTCCTCCTCCTCTTCCCCAAGTCCCCCTCCTCCTGCTCTTCCCCAAGTCCCCTCCTCCCTCCCCTCCTCCTCTCCTCTTCCCCGTCCCCCTCCCCTCCTCCTCTCCTCCTCTTCCCCCCCCTCCTCCTCCTCCTCTCCTCCCTCCTCTCTCCCTCCTCCTCCTCCTCTTCCCCAAGTCCCCTCCCCTCCTCCTCCTCCTCCTCTTCCACCTCCCTCCTCCTCCTCTTCCCCAAGTCCCCCTCCCCTCCTCCTCCTCCTCCTCTTACTCCAACTCTCTCCACAGTTTATCAAGGAAAAGTTATAGGCAAGAAGGGTTTGTACCTAGCGTGTGTGTGTGTGTGTGTGTGTGTGTGTGTGTGTGTGTGTGTGTGTGTGTGTGTGTGTGTGTGTGTCTGCTGACTCCCCTCACACCCACACTTTAATGATGATGATAATGATGATGAGACATTATTTCTATCGCCAATAATAATAAATATATAATAATAATATTAATATATATATAATCATTATTATTATTAATAATCTCGACGTCCTAAAAACTTCATAAAAAATCCTTACCTGGCGAGCAACTTTTTCTCACCTCACCTCCTCTCCTCCCTACTCAGAGTGCAAGTTGATTACGAGGTAGTAGAACAAGATACACTGAGTAGTTTGTACTCTTGGGTGCTTCATGTTTAATGACTTTATAATTATTTTAGATTATGGTGGTGTGGTGGTGGTGGTGGTGGTGGTGTGGTGGTGGTGGTGGTGGTGGTGGTGGTGGTGATGGTGGTGATGATGTGGTGGTGGTGGTGGTGATGATGATGATGGTGGTGGTGGTGATGATGATGTGATGATGTGGTGGTGGTGGTGGTGGTGGTGGTGATGGTGGTGAGTGTGGTGGTGGTGATGTGGTGATCATGATGGTGGTGGTGGTGGTGGTGGTGATGATGATGATGATGGTGGTGGTGGTGATGATGATGATGTGGTGGTGGTGGTGGTGGTGGTGGTGGTGATGATGGTGGTGGTGGTGATGGTGATGATGATGGTGGTGGTGGTGTGGTGTGGTGGTGTGGTGGTGGTGGTGGTGGTGGTGGTGGTGGTGATGATGATGATGATGGTGGTGGTGGTGATGATGATGATGGTGGGGTGGTGATGATGATGGTGGTGGTGGTGGTGGTGGTGATGGTGGTGGTGGTGATGGTGATGATGATGGTGGTGGTGGTGGTGATGGTGGTGGTGGTGATGGTGATGATGATGGGTGGTGGTGGTGGTGATGGTGGTGGTGTGGTGGTGATGGTGGTGATGATGATGGTGGTGGTGGTGGTGATGATGATGGTGGTGGTGGTGGTGATGATGATGATGGTGGTGGTGGTGTGGTGATGGTGGTGGTGGTGGTGGTGGTGGTGATGATGATGATGGTGTGGTGTGGTGATGATGGTGGTGGTGGTGGTGGTGGTGATGATGATGGTGGTGGTGGCGGTGATGATGGTGGTGGTGGGTGGTGGTGGTGATGGTGGTGATGGTGGTGGTGGGTGGTGATGGTGATGGTGGTGTGGTGGTGGTGGTGGTGATGGTGGTGGTGGTGGTGGTGATGGTGGGTGTGGTGATGATGATGGTGGTGGTGGTGGTGTGATGATGATGGTGGTGGTGATGAGTGATGGTGGTGGTGGTGGTGGTGGTGATGTTGATGGTGGCAGGTGATGTGGGTGAGTGATGATGAGGCGGTGGTGGTGGTGGTGGTGGTGGTGGTGGTGATGATGATGATGATGATGATGATGGTGGTGGTGGTGATGATGATGATGGTGGTGGTGGTGGTGATGATGATGGTGTGGTGGTGGTGGTGGTGTGGTGGTGGTGGTGGTGGTGATGATGGTGGTGATGGTGGTGATGATGGTGGTGTGGTGATGATGATGTGTGGTGGTGGTGGTGGTGATGATGGTGGTGGTGGTGGTGATGATGATGGTGGTGGTGTGGTGATGGTGGTGGTGTTGGTGGTTGGTGGTGGTGGCAATGC